TTCCTTCCTTCCTTCCTTCCTTCCTTCCTTCCTTCCTTCCTTCCTTCTTTTCTTGAAACAGGGTTTCTCTGAGTAGTTCTGGTTGTCCTGTAAACCTGGCTGTCCTCAGACTCAGAGATCCACCTTCTTCTGACCCATGAGTGCTAGGATCAAAGGCATGTGCTAATATGCCCAGCTTTAAATTATATTTAAAACGTCAACTGTGGCAAACAGGTGCTGAAATCTCCAAGTGGCAGAGTGTATAAACTAAGAAAAATTGATTGTTTTTTAAAAAGAAAGATAAAACAGGAAAAATGTTTCTTCAAAAGATTCAACTAAAAATAAACTAAGCTATAGAAAGTTTAATAAACATCATGTGGCTCTGCTGTAAAGAGAAATATTATTCAGCCATATAAAGGACATTAAGTCTGACAGGAGGTATCATGTAGATATACACAGAGGTAACTGCATAAATTGGACACAAAAAGAAAAAAAAATTTAATGATGCTGCCTGTGTGAAGTGTACAGGCCGGAAAGTCCCAGAGAGGCACACCAGGAGGTTGTGAGGGAAAAATGAGGAGAGTGGGAAGTGACTACTCCATGATTCATGTTTACATATGACCAAAATGTCCTGGAGCATAAACCATGGTAAAGTTGACAGAGCCCTGGCCTAGCTAGCGTGCTTGAAATGGAGATACTCAGAGGGTCAAGTCACTTGTATCAGGCTTGAAAACCCGAGTCCAGCTCTTAGAACCCACGTGGAGGGAGCACTCCTGCAAGCTGTTCTCTAAACTGTACATTCCCTCATCCAAAGCAAATAAATGTAATTGTATTTTTTTAAAAAGTGGGCTCAAGAGATGGCTCAGTGAATAAGAGCACTTGTTTTTGTGGGAACCCCAGTTCAATTCCTAGCATTTACATGGTGGTGATACAACCACAGATAACTTCAGTTTCAGGAGAACCTGCTGCCTCTTCTTACTTCTGGGGCACCAGTAATGCATGTGTTATGCAGACAAACATGCAGGCAACAATTGCACACATAAAATAATAAAGTAAAATTTTTTAAACAAAAGTTCTGTGCTGGACCTGGGACTCCCACTAGACATCCAACTAAGCAGAAACCTGGGCAAAAAGATAATGGCAAGGCCATGTCTGCAATTAAAAAGAAAAAGGGCAGTAATTTGAATAGGAACAGAAGGAGTAAGAAAAAGAAGGAATAACTGGTCTTATTAAGACATCTTCAAGCCTGTATATTTCCTTGGATTTAGTCATGGTTCAGTTCTACCCATTTTGCTCTAATCCCGAAGATATCAAGAAGAAATTTGAAAGTCACAGCACAAGGACTTTCTAAGAAGGACTCTAGTGGGTCAGGAATAAATTGACAGAAGGGAGGGCACAAAGCCTAAAGCTTCTGCACAGCAAATCAGATGAGCATGGAACAGATGTGGAGAAACATTCTGCAAGTGAAACTCACAAAACGGGATAAAGTTCAGAATCTGTAAAGAACTGATCCAACCCTGGTACAAGGGATGGCATTGTTCAACTCAGACACTTCTGCCTGGATGGAACTATAGGTCTGTGAGTAGAGTGCCTATAGTTTTGTAGGTAGAGTACTTATAGCTCAATGGGTAGAGTGCTTCCCTTTCAGGCACAGAGCCCAGATTCCACTGCTAGCATAAACAGAATGTAGAAATTCTCACCTGTGGTCAAATCCAGGCAGGAGGATAAGGAGTTCAAGGTCATCCTTGGCTGCCTAGTGAGTGCCAGGACAAACTGGGCTGCCTCCTGCCCCTCCCCAATAGAATCAAGTAGAAGTCAGTCAGTCAAAGGCTCCCAACACTTTGTGTGCTTCTGGGTCCATTAACTCTTACTTTGATCCTTGTAGCCTGACTCGGTTAGAACAAGATCAGAGTAGATAGAACATCATAGCCGAAGAGGCCACAGGTAATTGTACCTAGAGGGCTCCGCTTACTCCACTGAAAGCTGAGAATTTCTGTGTCTGCCCCAGGCTGTAGGCTTGCATGCCTCAGGCTGTGGAACTTTCTAGTTCTGACTTGTTTCTTACAGTCTTGAACCTCTCCACACATATTCATTTTTATAAAATGCTCCAATGGATGCCTGGCTGATCAAGGGTACTGCATACCCCAGCAGTCCTGGGACCATGGAGAACCTGTCCCCAGCACAGACTCTGCTAAGGCTGGAAAGTACCCAATTCCCTCTATACTGGGCCTTCTTTCCCCCCCCCACCTCCCTGGCTATGGTTTAATAGGAACATGACACCATCTTCTTATCTGCAAAGAGCTCCCATACCCATGAGTGGAAAAAGGAGCCATGGGCAAGGGACCCTAAGGACAGAGTTCTATAAATAGAAAACAATAAGGTCGAAGCTGGAGAGGCAGCTCAGCCTAAAACCTCTGGCTACTCTTGTAGAGAACCTGGGTTCAGTATCCAGCACCAATATGACCGCACACATCTACCTGTAACCACAGTTCTATGGTATCCAATGCCCTCTTATGGCCTCTGAGGGCTTTTCTCTCTCTCTCTCTCTCTCTCTCTCTCTCTCTCTCTCTCACACACACACACACACACACACACACACACACACACACACACACACGGGAGATATAAGATAAATACATCTTGAGGCAAAAAAATACAACACTAAAATTTGAACTGCCATATGATCCAGCTATACTATCCCTGGACATATGGTTGTATGTACAAAATATACATGTATATATGTGTGTAGATATATAAATTGTATGAGTACTCAAGTAATACCTCTATATTACTTGTATATCTAAATATATACATATATTTGCATATATAAAAGTATGAAGTCGTTCACAGACAGTATTAGTATTTTCCAGAACAAAATTCAACCACTTTGAGGACAGAATAATTTTCTTCTCTGCTTAGAGTCTAGAGGGGGCCTTCCCCACTCCCATATTTGTGCACTAGGGGTGGACTATCCCCAACAAGTTCAGGTATTTCTTGGTGTCCAGCAGGTGATGATGTTTGGGGAGATCCTGGACAAGCTTTAGGGAAGGCAGTAAGGAAGGCCTTATTGGAGAAAGTAGGTCACCAGGGACAGGGCTGAAGATTTGATAACCCTGTCCTACTTCCCCATTGATCTTCCTGTATGTGGCTACAATGTGAGCAGCTACCTTCTACACATGCTCCTGTTGGCAAGTGATCCCATGACAGAACTGGAGATCCCAAAATAAACCTTTTCTTCCTTAAGTTGCTTTTTTAGGAGTGTTTTATAACATCAACAGGGAAATAAATAGGAGATCCACCTAAACGGAGGGAGGGGTATATCACACCAAAGCCCACCATGCATCTTCTGGCCCTGTTTGTCTATCCATCCAAATTAAACCTTCAATTTTCAATTAACCTGTAATAACTCCATGACTGTCCCCACTTACCTATCCACCAGTTTCTTGGCAAAGCCAAAGTCAGTGAGTTTGATATGTCCTTCCCGATCTAGAAGGATATTTTCAGGCTTCAAGTCCCTGTACACGATCTCCTTGGAGTGCAGGTATTCAATGGCACACACGATCTCTGTGGAGTAGAAGATTCCAGCAACCGAGGAGAAGCGACCACGGTTCCGCAGGTAGGTGAATAGCTCACCACCAGGCACAAACTCCATCAGCATGTAAAGAAAACGGTTGTCATGGCCTGTCCAGAACCTGTGAGACACAACAGAGTGTATGAGGCTTGTTGAGTTGGGTGCTCAGATGTGGACCCAGATGTGCTCAGATGGATGTTGATTAACAAACACTGATGGCAAGATGTGTGCACAGAACGCAGGTATATATAGAGGCAGATGTTCCTTTTAATATACTGGCATACATTGACACTAAGAGGTGCATATGCACACATATCAAAATACAAATACAGATATCCAGATAAACACACAAACAAATGCAAACATGTGCATGTACCCTGGTTAGCTTTAACTGTCACCTTTACAACCCAGACTCACTTGGGAATGACTCACTGAAGAATTTCCTATATCAGCCTGCCCTGTGAGCACATCTGCAGGGAGCGTCATCATTAAGAAGACCATGTCCACTGTTGGTGGCAACATCCCCTCCTAGGGAGAAGATGTGCTATCAGCTTTAACACAGCCTGAAGTCACCTAGGTAGGGTCTCAGTGAGGCATTTCCCTCATCAGATTGGCCTGTGGGTATCTGTGGGGAGTGTCTTGTTTGATGAATGACAGAGGAGGGTCCCAACCACTGTGGATTGGGTTTCTTGGGCTGGATGACAGTTTTCTGCTTCTAGTTCCTGTTCTGAGTTCCTCCCAGATGGCCTGTGACAGGGAAGTGAAAGCCAAGTTAACCCTTTCCTACCCTCAGTCCCTTTGGGTCACTGTTTTATCACAGCAACAGAGTAAAAGCTGACCAGCAAGTGATGAAGATGTTTGATAGATGTCCAATATCAGTTTACTCAGAATGTAAGGTTGTGCTTAGATGGACTGTGGATGCAGGTTGATGTTAGGACATCACAGGATGCTAAGCCTGTGAGGACAACCTGAGGGTGAAATTCACAGGGAGAGTACATGCTACGAGGTGTCACCCTAGGTGGGACTTAAAAAACACCATGCCCTTAACCAAGATTATGTATGTATTTTTTGTTTGTTTGTATGTATGTATGTATGTACGTGTGTATGTATGTATGAATGATAAATCCATAATCATCTATTATCTAGCTATTTAACGTATCCAAATTATTCATCATGTTTTTACCATATTTTGTTCATCTATCCATTATCTATCTTTATCTATCTATCTATCTATCTATCTATCTATCTATCTATCTATCTAT